AAAAAAAAAAAAAAAAAAGTATGAACTACCATAAGAGGCAGTAGATTATACAGCACAAGCACGGGTGTCAATGAGAACTTGGTTTCTACCCCAACTCCTACTTCCCAGCTGTGTATCCGTGAACAAGTCACTTAACCTCTCTAAGCCTCCATGTCCTCATCTGTAAAATGGGAGAAATAATGGTATTGAGAGTTATGAGAAATAAATTTTGGAAATATAGTGCTTAACGGAATATCCAGAACACAGTATGCCTTCAGTAACTATTACATAATAGTATTTGAATGGTAATAGAACACAAGAAATCTTCCTCTATCAGAGAAGAAAGCAAACCAGAAATCTGTCACAGAAATCACACCTGACAGTTTGGGCAAGAACCACTCCTGGTCTATTCTGGAGTAAAATAAGAAGGCCTTCAACAACTGCACTGCTCCAGGGAAGAGGCAGGCCTGGCCAATGTGGTAAAACTGTTCAAAATAAGAGAGAGTTTTTGGGCTGGGTGCAGTGACTCATACCTAAAATCCTAGCACTTTGAGAGGCCAAGATGGGTGGATCACTTGAGGTCAGGAGTTCAAGACCAGCCTGGCCAACATGGTAAAACTCTGTCTCTACTGAAAATATAAAAATTACCCAGGTGTGGTGGTGCATGCCTATAATCCCAGCTATTGGGGAGGCTGAGGCAGGAGAATCACTTGAAAATGGGAGGTAGAGGCTACCGTGAGATCGTGCCACTGCACTCCAGCCTGGGTAACAGAGTGAGACTTTACCTCAAAAAAAAAAAAAGTTTTAATTTTCAGAAATGAAGAAATAAAAACTATTCTTGCTGAAGTAACTTGTTATTTTGGTTTTGTTTGTTTGTTTTTTGAGATGGAGTCTTGCTCTGTAGCCCAGGCTGGAGTGCAGTGGTGTGATCCTGACTCACTGAAACCTCCTCTTAAGCGATTCTCCTGCCTCAACCTCCCCAGTAGCTGGGATTACAGGCACACACCACCATGCCCAGCTAACTTTTGCATTTTTAGTAGAGATGGGGTTTATTCCTACCTTAAGCAATCTGCCTGCCTTGGCCTTCCAAAGTCCTGGGATTACAGACATGAGCCACTGTGCCCAGGTGTGCTGAAGTAATTTGAAAATATGAAGAAAATTAGCTGGAAAACGAGGAGAACCAACATGAATATTTAATATGTTGATGAGACATGAGATAAATTAAACAAAAATCCCAATCATCTTTTATATCAACGATATTCATCATACAACAAAAACTATTTTAAGCTGGGCACAGTGGCTCACACCTGTAATCCCAGCACTTTGGGAGGTCAAGAGATCAAGACCATCCTGGCCAAAATGGTGAAACCCCATCTCTACTAAAAATAGAAAAATTAGCCGGGCGTGATGGCAAGTGCCTGTAGTCCCAGGTACTCTGGAGGCTGAGGCAGAAGAATCAATTGAACCCAGGAGGCAGAGGTTGCAG